ACACACACACACATGCACACACACACATGCACACACACACACATGCACACACACACACACACACACACACATGCACACACACAAATGCACACACACACACACACACAGACATACACATATACACAAAGCAGCAGATACATAAACACACACATAGCCACACAGACGTGCACGCGCACACACACACACACATGTGCACACACATACACACACACACACACACACACTGTGATCTCCAGTACCTGTCTTCAGGACTGCCACCAGGTACACAACTGATCTTTGTACAACTGAATGCAGCAGGTAAAAACACAGACACTGTGGCAAATATTATCTGGAACAAATAATTATAAAAGCAATATAATTATAAATAGTAATTGATTTCTGTGAGCAATACATTTTCTATTCATCACTTTCATTAATAATTGTTTATCAAATTGTTTTTGAAAGATTCAAAATTTGGTATCTTATGATTAAGGTAAAATTGTCATTGGATGACAGTGTCAGCTATACATTTCCATGTTTCAATCATTTTGAAACATTCACTGTAGTCTGATCAATTTCTGATGTTATAAAAATTTTAATCTGCAGTTTTGTATTGAAATTGATATTTAGTTACTTTATTTCATACTGACTTGAATTTTTGTACAATGATTTTTCTAATCTTACATCTGATAGTATGTATTTTGCAAACAGAAATGAAGCAAACCAAACAAATAAATAAATAGGAAACTACCCACCATAATAATATTGGGTTCCAGCAGTCTTACACATTTCTGTAGACCCTGATTTTTAATATTTGACAATAATCTCTTCCGCCCTCTGGCAATTTTTAGGTTAATGAAGGTAAACATGGCTCCAAGAATTCCTCCAATAACGCCCAAGATGGCGGCAGGAATAAAGGCGAGCAAGTTCACATCCAGGCCTTCTGTTACCTTGGTAAATTGTAAAAATGGCTTCAAAAGTCAACCCAATACAAGTCTTAATTGATATCCAAAAAAAAAAAAAATTATAATTTGAAAATGAATCAGCATATTTCTCTCTCTCTCTCTCTCTCTCTCTCTCTCTCTTAAAATAACCTCTTAAAATTTTATCTTTGAAAAACCAATCAAACTGTAAACTAAAAGCTAAATTGAATAAAACAATTGAACACAAACAATTAATAAATGAATACATGCCTGGAATAAAATATACTGGTCGCTACGAAACAGTCCAAATTTGCCCTGATATTTAAAACCTTTAAATGCAGAATTAAACAAGTCCGTCGTAAACGTGGACACCATAGAGCAGAAAAAGATCTGCCATGACAGTCTCATGTTCCAGAAAGAGGACACCTCCTCCATGGAGAATAGCAGACCCCCCACTGGGGCCCCAAATGCTGAGGCCACCCCCGCTGCAGCCCCAGCAGATATGAAATTCCGCCTATCTTCAGAGTTACGGAATCTTTCGAAGAATGGCAGGCGAACCTTGAGTGTGTCTGACTTAAACTGGCTGAGACCTGCCCCCACCAGACTCCTGGGGACAAATATATAAATAAAAAATGGATAAATAAATGGATAAAAATAAAAATAATAACAGAAGATCATTTTGCGCAATGGCCAGTTTTTTAAAATAAGTAACTTAATGACCAAATTTTTTGTCAACTTTGACCAAAAATAAATTATCAGAATTCCTTTTAAATAAAATATTGCATCTGTTTTCTTCAAAGGAAAGACGAGCCTCTTAGTTAACAAAGTTGTTTGCTTGAATTTAGAAACTTTTCCATTTTAATCCTGAATCAAACAATTGTTGCTGACATTGTGACATGCGCCAATCACAAAATGTCACACCTTTTTCTTCATACAGGCCACGCCCACCCACCCCTACCCCACATAACAGATATCTTACCCCAGATGTATCATGGGTCCTTCTGGTCCTACAGGCATCCCTGCACCAACTACGCACATGGCGGAGAAGAATTTGATCACCAGCGTCTTCACGTTGAAGATGTGGCGTACGACAGCACCGTTCAGAAAGCCAATCAGCTCCGGAATTCCTGAGCCACCAGCGCTAGGACGGAGGAACTGGAAAAATTATAATTACAAGACTCATCTACTGGCCATCACTGAGCCAACAAAAAGTGAGAAAATGAAATGTTATGTATCTTTAACATTAAAATTTTAAAGCATTTAATTAAATATGTACATGTAACAGAATGCAGTACTTCAATTTCAGAGTACTTACCACAACAGATGCAGAGCCAGCTACCACAAATATGAGACTGTAGCCCAGACACCAGCCCCAGGCTTCCAGCATCTTGTCATCCTAAAACAGACATCAGAGTGGGAATGTACGTAGTCCAGTTTTACACTTAAAGGAAGAGACTAAGGAAACATTTAAAGATTGTCATACACATCTAACACACACCTAACACCTTGTTATCCTAGAGAGTGAGATTGTAGTCCAGTTTTTACAAAGGGCAGGATCTGAACCTTCAGCTAAAAAACATTGGTCTTTTTACTTCCAGGAAAAAATAAAAAATCCTAAATAGCAGCAAAGAGGAGCACTAATTGCTTCAAACCTCTCTCTAACACCTCTACCAAATCACCAGTATCAAAGTGTCCACACTCACAGCCACAAAGTCTCTGGCTTTCTCCCACTTAGTCTCCGAGACCAGGTCTATCAACTGGTGGAGCAAGAAACCCAGGAAACCCACGGAAAACCCGATCAGACCCATCATGATCCAGCGATCCCAGTCCTGTCTGGAAATATAACACAATAAATATCAATACAACATAAGTCCTATATGACAAATATATTATTTTCTAGATATTATAAGCAGATGAACTGTATATTTAAATCATAATATTTTGGATTTCTCTTCAGTATAGAAACTAAAAACCTGTGAATTAACCATACATAAATGAACTGTTTATATTTTTCTAATAATAAAGTCCAGAATCTGCCGATAGTGGGAAAAATCTCATCTCTGAGGAGGGATAGAAAGGCTACAGAAGCAGACAAGTCAGTGTATGTAGTTACCTCTTTGGTTGTCTCCTGAGCCAGTGTTTGTAGACTTCACTGTGTGATGGAAGATAATCCATACTTTCAAATGTGGCCAGTGTTTTTTTCTCCTCCTCTGTATACTTGTGGGTGGTATAAACACTCTCGATATCTCGGCCCTAGACATTTATTATAACCGATGAATTATATAGTATAAACACTTTCGATATCCCGCCCATAGACATTAATACAATCCATGAATAATATAATATAGGCAAACTCAATATCCTGCCCTTAGATATTTAATACAACTGAAGTATTATATAGTATAGACATTCTCAATATCTACACAATTAATGCAACTGATGAATAATATAGTATAGACATTCTCCATATCCTGGTCCTAAACATTTAATACAACAGAAGTATTATATAGTATAGACACTCTCGATATCTCGCCACTAGACATTTAACACAACTGAAGTATTATATAGCACAGACATTGTCAATATCCCTAGACATTCAATACAACCCAATAATTATATAGAAATTCAGGGTCAGATTGCATGCAACTTTCAGTCTAATTTCAGAAGTAACCTTCCCTTACTTCCAAAGTTTGGGCTTAGAGTTGCAGTAAGTGCTTATTGTAATTTTTCACATATATCCATGCTTAACCTCTTTATTCACCTGCTTTAATATAATTATGTCTTACCTTAGCAAAGAAGGAATGTTTATCATCCTGAGGATAAAAAACAGCGTCATCTTTCGGCGGTTCATGTGTTGACCCATATTTGGCCAGCCGTCTCTGACTGGAGCTAGTTCGTCTCTCGCGATGCCGTAACTGGCTTCCATTGGTTGTAATATCACTGGCATCAGACGGGGGCTCTGGGCTAGGGACGCGGTTGTTTTGTGTTAGGTTCTCTTCCTCCATTGTTCTGTTTCTCACAGTCAGTCCATCATAGACTTATACAGGTACATCTACTATATATATACTAGGAAGATCACTGAAAAGATTTGAAATGGGATGCACTTATTTATTTTTCAGATTTCATCTACTTAAATACAGCATATCTTAAATCAAACAGGGATATATGACTACTAGTATGTTCATTTAATCCCAATAGTTTAAAATACAAAACAGAGCAACAGTTATTATTTTCATCATTATTTATATTCATTTCATGAATTTATTTATTAAATGCACTGATCAGCCACTAAAGTCAAGTTGAAAGCTAAACGTGACTTAATTCCAACTTGGACAATTAAACTGAATTATTTGTTTTACTTTTCTGGGAATCCTACAAGTACCAGTGCATGTATAAAACCTGTGTACACAGTGGCAGAACTACCTGACATATATAGTATACTTTATATATATATATATATATATATATATATATATATATATATATATATATATATATATATATATATAGCCTTATTGTGGTTTATGGAAGGCGGATCTAAATAAATCAAAACCTTCCATCCCATTGGGTTCTTTCATCTTAACTTACAAACTGCACAGTTCAGATTCAAGTACTTATATTATAACATAACTGTTAATCTGTAATTAAGGCCCGCATTTGGGGGGGGGGGGGAGAGAGAGAGAGAGAGAGAGAGAGAGAGAGAGAGAGAGAGAGAGAAGGGGGAGGTGCCTTTGGCGTATAACACTGCTCTCTCTTAAATCTATCGTAAATTTATTCATCATTTCACTGAATATAGATAAGTGATTTGTAATCTCATAGCTACGTAAAATATATAATACCACTTTCTACTTACACCGACTGAATTACACTGCATAAGTTACATTTACCAACACTTTCAGCTCAGTATTTGTATTTTTATTTAGAAAGAGGGCGCTAAGAATAACTTAGCCAAGATAAGCCAATGATAAGACTCTAGGTTTATCATATAGACAAAACTAAAAAAGCTATTAAAATATGCATTTGAAAGTTTCTTTTTGAGTGCAGCTTCAAAAATCTAAAACACACATTTTGACATAGATGTACATTTTTAAGAAGCATGTCTTACTCAGTTTCAGAAGTGACATCTTTTATCTGTGTGGACAGTGAGACACGGCTGGGACACGTTCTCGTCTTCTCAAACACAATTATTTTGTTTCCCAACTATCGCATCTAAACTTCAAGTTTTCTTCAAAGGCGCTTAGGTTTTCAAAAACAAAACAATGCAATATAGAGTCTAAATAATCCCAAATTTAGAAAAATGCCCCAAATATAACTGTATGAAAGTATAGTTTTTGTCAATTTCTTTTCCAAAAATATATATGATTTCACACAATGTGTGATTCATATCACAAATACCGAGTGCATGTATATCACATTCAAATAAAACTCAAACTGAACAATACGTGCAAATAATCGAATAAAAGGACCACAAATTTGCAGCATTATTTACTTAGTCATTATTTCAAAATATTTAGATATTTAGATGATTGTGTGTAGACCTTTATATATATATATATACTCTCTCCAATGTACTCATTCTAATTCATCACCTTCATGTATAGATTGCCATCATACATTCCTTATATAACTTATTATAAAGTAACTTATTGATATTATGCTACATGTAAACATTGAAATCATGTATATTTATATTTATTTATATACCTGTTTGTACTGTTGTAGTTAGATGTAATTGTCTTTGTCTTTGATTGTACCTTATTTGTAAAGGTGTATCAATAAAGAATCCATTGTATATATTTGTAGGTATGAGGTTATTGATTGGTTAAATATGCGTAACTTCAATTCCTTTTATAAATGTAGACACTACTCCTACTAACTTACTTCAAAATATTTCTTCTGAATCACTCAGTTAGATGAACATGTCTATATCTTATCATATAAAGGCTAAATCCCCCCCCCCCCATATACGTCCCCCACAAATAATCAACAAATTTGTTGGCACCAATATTTTGTCAATTTGAACTCAGTAAGTGCTTTCAAATTTACAAAGGACAAATATATTATTTTGCCATATTTCTAATCTAATCAACCGATCAATGAGATGTTTGAATAATGTTTTCTTGCGGTTATCATTTGTTTATTTACAAAGTGACTCGTTGTGTGCTTCGGTTTCCAATTTCTATTTTAGTTCACCGCGACTGAACTGACAAAGGATTTCCGGCTTATCTTGCCATCGCGGCGTGAAAACATAGTTCATGCAAATTTAGTCATTGAAAATGCCCATTTCAGTCATAATTATGAATATTGAAACATTTGCTGCTGCATTAATATTTGTTTAGTATTTTTAAGTGATATAAACCCAGAAATATGAAATATATTGCAAATGTAAACGGTAGCACATGTTTTGGTATTCTTCCGCGTCCCCGCCAGAGACGTGAGAAGTGAGTCAAGCAGGAAAGAGAAGAAGTTAGCAAACTTACGGATAGCTCTTCATTTCTTGGTGCTTTAAGCTTTTCCATGACACTTAACACTTAAATGGACCATGGATCACTACACAGAGTTGGATGATCGCGATGTTACCCAGATAGAGAGGGACCTGGGCATGTTTGGGGTCCCGACGCCGCAGACTTTTTGGAGAGAAGACATACCTAGGCGATCAGACACTTCAGCCGGCTTGGAGTTTCAGAAGAAACGTGAGCTTTATCTCCAGCACATTCAACGCGGAGAACAACCGCCGAAATACACGCCGTACACGGGATTTAATCCGGAATATAATGCATCCGACGGCAGGGATTTAGACGCCGGGAATTCCTTGGTTGTGCCAGTGAAGGACCTAAGGACGAGGACAGCTAGTAGCGGTAGTGGAGGCGACACCACAAGTATGCTTAAACAAAACGCTACAGGTTACCCCTTTGCTGTAGATAACCGTTCTGGGCTCCCAATGTCATCCCAAATCGCAGTTGCCAGAGCTGCCAATCTGGGTTATACTTCTGCAGAGAACGGTGGGGCATACACGATTGGGATTTCACAGCAACATCATCAGCTGCAGCAGGTGCCCCCTATGGGAGCCTCACCACTGAACAGTACCCAGGGGCACCTGTTGGGGAGACAGAGTACCACAGGGACCTACCTCTACTCCAGTAGTCCTCGGACTAGCACAGGCAGTGTAGGCAGTGGTGGGGATCCAAATGGTGGTAGCCGCCGAGGATCCCTGGTGAACCCCCCTCTCCCCCCCTCCTATGATCAACACAGAGTGGGGGGCACCAGGGGGGCCAGTGTCAGCCCAAGGTCCAGTGTGAGTGCTGACTCCAAGCACTCCAGTCCACGCACCAGTCTGGTGAACACAGCATTAATGGACCGGTTCCCAAGTCCACACTCTGGTATGATCAACGCCAACGAGAAATATCCCAGTCAGCGCTCCAGTTTGTCTTCACTGGGGTACGAGCATTATGTAACCAATCAGACAGCAGCAGAATCTCCCAGACACAGTCACAGCGGAGGAAGCGCGGGGTCAAGTCCCCTGCAAACCATGGACAGAAAGTACACAAACAATAATGATCCCGCTGCGCTGCCACCGGCGTATAATGATCCCAGGCATTCTAGGATAGGTGGTGGCAACAACACCCATCACCATGGCAACAACACCCATCACCATCACGTCCCCCATGGTCTGAATCATGTTCTGCATCAAGGTATACCTAATCACAGCACCCCAATTAAACTGAATCTGGCCTCACCAAATACTGTGCACCCCAATCTTCTACAACAACAACAACAACAACAACCCCATCTGGCTGGGCAGAGGGTGGGGGCTGGGGGTGTGCAGGGGGTGGCTGTGTCCGCTGCCACACAGACCAGCAGTCAGAGCCCAGTGTATAGGAATACAGTGGCAGGGGGCGCTATGTCGCCTGCAGGGTCGTCATCTAGTGGTGGACAGAGTAAGGTATTACTCCACTACGATGTCATAGCGCCAAAATCTCCCGGTCCCAGCGAGGCTGAGAAGAAACTAGCTGCGTTGACTCAGCAGTTAGAGAGAGAAATGAGGTTGTCATCTTCTGGGTCTTCATCAAAACGAAGCTCAGTGTCGCCAGAACCTCGAGAGCCACCTCCGCCATATTACGGGCCACATAACACAGAGACGGTACCTGTCATGGCCAATTCTGCCTCTGCTGTGCCTCAGTTTTACACGTCTACAGCAGTTTCTTACCCAGCAACAACGGCCAATAATTACCCAGCACCCCCTGCTTCGCCATCTCTCTCAGTGTCGTCTAGATCGTCCAACCAGAAGAGTGGCCTTGGTTTTCAAGTTACGCCACCTAAATCCCAAGGTCTGACAGAAGCGGAGAAGAAACTGGAGGTTATGACAAGTAATATTGAAAAGGATTTGGAGCAGCATCCGCCTGGTGAATATTATGGTGAGTGACAATTTTTATTAACTTTTGTTTAAATGTGAATTTTAGATGTTTATTGTGGTAGATTTCAACTGTTAGATATTGGGACAACATAGAAGCTAGTTGACTGCATTACATCATTCATAAACTGTCTAAAAGTTTTTTTTAGCTTTATAGACCTATGACTTGAAAGTTATGTATAAGTGTATGATAAAACATATTTCAAAATGCAATGAAAAATGTCATATTTCTTTTCTTCACTGATGGCCATCTAGGGTTTTTTATTATATTATTATTATTTTTTAAAATTTTATTTATTTTTATTTTTGGGGTATATTAATCCAGATGTTAGACTTGGTTAGAGCAGGCTATGGAACTGAATGTATTGTATACTTTGACCTCTTCTACAGACTTCAAGGGTTAAAATGGTATTTTGTTTTGAAGAATTATAGGATGTTGTGTTGTATGCATTTTTTGTTACATGGAAGCCCCCCCTCTCTCTCTTTCTCTCTCTCTCTCTCTCACACACACACACACACACACACACACACCTATTCCCTGACATACCACAGTAAGTGATTTACAGCTCCCTAAATAACAAGTTCCGTGTTTACATAGCTTCCATGTAGCTCCTGCTTCAGTTATTATAAGCCTCCGCACCAAGAGATATTACCTGAATGATCTAAGCTAGGAGGTAGCTATATCCTTTAATTATTAACCCCAAGATGGTTGCCATGGTATTTGGATAGCGAGATATACATAATCGTGATGGTAATGTTCTTGTGTAATATACATGTATATGTATAATTAAGTTTGAAAGGTCTCAGCCATCTCTTTATAAGATAGTTAACTTAAAACTGAAATTCTTGCCCTGTCCTCTTTTTATAGAGGTTTAAAAGGGAATTAAAATAAATGTTACACTGGATTGAAGTAAAGAATTGCTGTATTTTCTGAGCCATGTATTTATTGTTAGTTCTGTGAGATGTTGAGAAACGATTGGGCAGAATTTTATTTAATGCAAAACATGAGGAAAAATGTCTTATCTCTTTCTTCTTATAACAAAGGCCCAAAATTTAATTAGAATGGCTTCACTTGTGGTTTAAAATATGTTAAAATAAATAAGAAATTAGGCTCAACTTTGGATCTTGAGTTATTTTGAGAAAATTGCCCAGTGTATGTGTGGAAGGGGGGGGGGGGCTCTTGTCTCTCTGCCTGTTCAGTTAGTCCTACCTGTGTTGATGTGTTGACACTGAAGTGGGAGGGAGGGGGAGACGCATTCCAAGACAGCAATTACACACCATACCCCAGGCCACTTACTACTATATTATTGAGGTGGAGAGTGAAAATACCTCTATCTGCATAAATCTCAGATTGTTATTGAGATAAGAGAGACGCTTTAAAGCAAATGTTTTAGAATAATTGAGGGAAGTGTAAGAGATATGCAGAATTAGATGGGGGAGAAATAAGAAATTTTGTATATATTTATATAGCTGTGTCACAGTTCTGAGAGATGATCTTCTCCTCTTAATCTATGATAAATTAAGTTAAGAGAATACAGTACATCTATTTTCTTTAGAAATAGCAGTCTTTGAGTTAATACCAGTAATAGGATATTATATTTATCTGTCAGGTCAGATGATGAGCTGATTAAAGATGGTATGTTATGATGTTATCATGAAAAGGATGGGTTGAAATTATTGATAATTATAATATTATTCCAGTCAGGGAGGATTTTACACCTTTCTTACTAGTCCGTTTGTTGTTGATTTTCAAGAAAGCCAGGTAGCTATTGTTTGTTAAAAAGTGGACAAATGCTGCCTTAGACCACTTTTGTACTTTATTACCAAAAATCACTAGAAATTTTTCCTTGTATTTTGTTGATGTTGAGGAAAAGTTTTCTTTCATTAAGTTGTGGCATTTAAAAAATGAAGTTTAAATGCCACATTGGTTTCTTTCACATTTCTTAGCCATACTGAAATATTGACTGAGACTATTTCACCCAGGTTTCTGGTGTACATGAAACATTTCTTTATAAAACAGCTACAGCATATCAGCCTCTCACAAATGCTGGTGGAATTTTTATTTTGCTTTTTCCAAATGACCCATTGCATCTCTCTCCATCTTCATTTCACCAAAATTGGGCTCAGCTCAGAAATGGCATCTGTCAAAAATCATTCTGGAATTTTCATGGTGTCATGATAATGAAGTGACCTCTAATGGATCTGTCATCTGTTGGATAACTAGAAACATACTTCAGTTGTCAAATGTCATTGGTGTGTGAAAGGACTGTACTGCCTTTTTCTTTTGAAATTTTGACATATTTTCAGGCCTTTCCTTGGATTGCAAGTAAAATTTGCCAGAATGACGTATTGCTGTACTAGTAAATTATTCCTTTCACCCACAGGAAATAATCACATTTCCAAAATTTGTAAAAAGATTATTTTTGAGACATGAATATAACCTCACATCATGGTCCTGTGCAATTATCTCTCAGGATGCATTGGAATTCTAATGTTTCCAATATCCAAGTCACCATTGAGGGTATTCTATCTAGCTATCAGTGGTGTTTTGTTTGTCTGTGTGTTAGGTATGTAGTGTTTAACTTTGTCTGGGACCCAGCATTATCAGACTGCAGGGATGTCTTGTAGGTGATGTGGGCACAAAATATTCAGGTGTTTGGTAGACATTTTGAGATTTGTTTTGAACTGATCAACGTGGTTAACAAATAAGTGCATTGCAATTAACTTAGTGGACCCTCAGCAAGTCCATCAGTTGCTCATCTTTTTACAGTCAGCTGTGTATTGTAATCATGCTGGTGGATCCTCAGCATGCCATCCTATCAATCATTTCATTTCATTCACTCATTCCCAAGTAGCTGAAAGGTTGGAAATATTTATTTTCATATAAAATTCATTCATAAAGAGATGAAAGAGTGCTTTGTTTCTATTTAAATAATCGTTGGCCATATAACAAACATTATTGATTGTTTGTCAAAGTGACAAGTTAATTCCGCAGATATGAGAGCTCACCCTACGTAGAGAAGTTGTAAGTAAAGTAGTGTTGGCTGTTGTATTGTGTAATAGTTTCTTCAGTAGTTAGTTGGCCAAGCATAAGCTAATTTATTGAATACTTGGGTGTGGTAAATATACTGCTTAGGCAAAGGTTAAAATATGTTACATAAAGTTACATAATGTTTCACCTGAACCTGTTCCATAAGGCACATTTTGTTCACATTGTTTCATTTTCTCATACATGAATGCAGATGAGGAAAAAATCTCCCTCTTCAGCAGAGAGAGAGGGAGTTTCCACAAGTTTATTTCTTTTATAAAGCTGAATTGTTGTTGTGTCTGCAACTGTCAGTTTGTATATAAAATAATTACATATAAGTATACAGTACATTTTGATTATGATGTAGCCTATGGGTTTCTATTTGACAGATATATATATATATATATATATATACCCAAAGGGCAGAAAACGGCTGGTACACATTTCTGTTTTGAAAATAAATCATTTTAAACGGTTTGTTTGCACTTCAGTGAAAAGATTGTTTGCATTCTTTTTCATTGTAATGGTTTGATTATAGGGTGTGGGATTCTGACTTGAGTAAAAGTGAGGCAGGTTTTTTTTTTTTAAAGATGGGTATCGCTGGTTTGAAGTATTATCATAAAGCCTATTTGACAGATTTAGAGAGGTGCTTTTCATGCTTTGTTTGTCTTGTGAAGTTGATAAATGTGGAGAAGATGAAAACCGGATTTCTAGTGATATTTTAAGATAATTGGCTTTACTGGGCTTACGAAAAGAGTTGTATTTTTTTTTCAGTACTATGTCTATTAAGGCTTGATTTGAAGGAGGTAATAGGCAAATGAATCCTTTGTGGCATCAACTTAAGATTTAAAGTACAGTCATTCTTAGGATATTTATTTAAATATACAACAAATTAGAACTAAGAGAGACTATAGGAACACTAGTGTATCATGCACATTTGATAATATTAAATATATATATATATATATATATATATATATATATATATATATATATATATATATACTCTACAAAGGATATTAAACATGGCAAGAAATGAATTGTTTCAAAGAGACTAAAAATAGTTAATACCGATACAATTCTCATATTTTAGAATTTGTGCATTTGGTTACTGGTAAGAGATGAGTGGTTCTGCAGACTTGGTAAAAATCCTGAGATTATAGGTCTGTTTTGCTTTATGAGCACCAAGTATGCAGTTTTCATATTTCCCAAAGGTTACCAGCCAATATGACGGGTAAACAGGCATGGATTCTACATTTTTTGTTTTGTAAGCTTACCGTATATGATGAGCAAGGATGGAGGAGGCAGTTATGGATCAGTCTCTTTCAAATTTTATCAACTTTTTTGTCAATATGAGACAGAGAGAGAGAGAGATTTTTGTTGTCTTTAATTTGCTGCTCCAAAACGATGTCTATTCTTCTGACGTTATCATATACAGTAGATTTAACCTTTAATTTTATTTACTCGAATCATCTTAAGAATTTGGTAATGTGTTGGCACAAGCTAGGACCCTAAGGACTCTTAGGAGTTCATCCATATTCTTTTATTTCAAACATTTTTTCTTCTTAGCCCTGCCCAAAGCAATAAGGCATTTACTAGTATAACACACTGAAGTCATAATTTAGGCTTGGATCAGATTTCAGACAAAAATGTGTTTTCTCCCATATGTGTTACCTTATCAGTAGGGTCATCTTTTGGTCATCATTGGTCAGTCTGATATGATTATAGTGCTTAAATTTACAGTCTTTCATCTAAATATAAATACCTCAATTCAGAGATGATTTGATTATGAAAAAAAAAACATTGTGGAATTTTTCTTTTCCGCTCGCTAGGTTGAATTTGGAGTATAGGCTTATGAACTATAGGGAATAACATGAGCATTTCATAGGGTAGTTTTATGTTTGGTGCTTTTGTTTTCAGTTCTCTCGTTATTTCAAATCAGATATTATTGGTTTAACACCCCACCTTCAATAATA